TCTGCTTGGGTTTTCTTCCTTTAACTCTTATTTTTCAATAAGCATTCTATCTATCTATTAGCTATTTCTAATTAAATTTTTAATAAATAATTAAAGCATAAAAGAAGATTTTAGTAAGCGCAGCATTGTGAAAATGATTGCATAAGGTTTAAAGAGATTGTCACTCCTTAAAAATTTAAAGAAATCTGCTTAGTTATATTACTTCAACAAGCAAGCATTCGGATCAGATGTTGATAAAAATTTAAATCCTTATTCATATGAGGCTTTGAAAGAAAATCATTGGCTCGTCAGTGACTCATCTAAAAAGGTTAGATATATTAATATTTTCCTAATAAATCAAATTTTGATAGTTGAAAGCTATATTAAATATAAAATGAGAATTATTTAAGAGCTTAGACAATTTATAAGAAAAGCAAAATTAAAAGCTTAAAATTTGGGTATAAATTGAATAAAAAATATTAAACTATGATATGTGTTTAAGTTTATATCTTACATTCAAGTAAGTATTGATCAATTTACCTAATTATTATTTTTATAATTCAAAAATAGAATTCTGAATGGACTCATAAGTCAAACGCCGAATAACTTATTGCTAAGGTTCCTATCATCTATGTTGATTCAAATATAGTTAGATGCATTGTAAAAAAATTAATTATAATATTGTTAACCTCAATTCCCTTATTTTCCTAACCACGTAGGTCACCTTCTATAAGTTCTTCTTCTATTAAATGCTTGTATCTGTAAATGGAGAATTCTTCTTAGAGATTAGGTTTTTATTCTTCTGTAATCATCAGTTCGAAAAGAGCCTTAAATTTATTTTAAAGCTTTCCCTGCTGAATATATGCATGAAGTAAATGTAAACGCGAGCTTTTTTGAAACTTTTCAAAACCATCTTATAAGATATTCCTAAGAAAGAGATACCATTTTTTATGGCCTTGAGATGAATTGCCACCTCCACCATTATTATCGTCTTCCTTGTCAAGAATTAATTGTTAGCAATTGCACGAATCTGCAGTTTTTGAGCAAT